GACAGAGACTTCACATGAGATTTGGACCATCTTGTGGGGGAAAGCAGATTACTTCCTACTCGCGAGCGCCCCCTCTGCAAAACTCTTCAGAACACCGGTAGACGGCAGCCATTACAGACGAACATGTGTTTGTTGTTGTTCCAGGAGCGGCTCGGTCACACACTAATGTCATTAGTTTGTTATCATTACTGAGCTGCAGGAMTACTTTTTACCGCCTTTTTTTCACATCATGTCTCCTGCCTGGATCTGTTACTGTCTCGCTCTGAAGCACAGAGGAGTGTCASAGGTRAGCTTGTTTCAACTGCTTTTTATGATGCGGTCTCATTTCCAGACTCAGGCATTTCTTGAATGAAGCCGATATTTCAGTTAAAATACATAAGTAAAAATATTTATCTGAGTATAGTACTACCCCCTAACTTTATGGATGATTTTTTTGGATTAAATTTTACGTATTATACTTGAATAAATACGATAATCTCTTTAGCAAAGATATTCCAGATTCTGTTTTGTACTTGATTAGAAGTGCTTTAACAACATCCATCAATCTTTTCTTCCCTCAACTTCCACTTCTTAATCTGGAATTTCTGAGAAATTCTAATTCAAAACAAAACTCTCTGATACTTTCCTAAAGAAAATTTGCCTCTTTTGAGAACACAATATTTGACATTTTCTATGCCCCCCAAAATGAGGAAGCGTTTTGGGGTTGAAACTAACTGTTGTTCTTAATAATGGTATTGAAACCATTTATTCTTTCATTGTAAATTCTCTGATGCTTTTTGGTAAGATGTTTTTAAAAGGTTACAGCCAATTTTTTCTCGGCTGAAAAATTTCTGTCAGAAAGACAATGGGCYTCATGCAAGAACATGTTCGTATTCTTATCCTAAATTTCTCTTACTTTTGTTCGTACAAAGGGTTTGTACGAACATGTCACGTCAGATTCAACAAACTCTTCTATCTTCAGGAAAAGTGTGTAAATNGACCAGGACGAAAACCGCACTGCTCTTCCTGAATCCTGGACTCAAAACTCCAGCCTCAAACTAAGACCAACACTGACCATTGAGCTACTGTGTCTGATGAAAATAAGATCAGCAAGTTAAATGTGTAAATACTGTATATCGGTTTCCACCAGTGAACTTAAAGCAGAAAAATGCGGCACATAAACATGAAAGCTGGTCTCACCTATCAGGTAGAACTCTTTTAGAATAAAAGTCTGGGAGTCCATCATCCAGAGGGCTGATTCCTCCGTTTTCACTGCAGTGCTGTACACACGTGGATCAAACAGGTTTCAGTGGGATTGTTGTGTTCAGTGTTATGGATGCAATCAAATAAACGAAATACTGAATTCACAGCAGATAGACAGAAAATCTGGAGGAAGTTTCAGGCAGCAGACAGAAACACAGAACAGGACCAGAATCCATCAATGATTCAGCGGTCAGGAGAAAGTCAGGCCCACCATCTCAGCAGGGATGTGAGCCCCCCGGTGTCTCCGCGGAGGCCTGGGCCGGACTCGCGTCACGTGATGGAGCGGCAGGCCCTGTGTGGGCAGCTCAGACAGGCCCTCCCAGGACGCCGAGTGGGAGAGCGGCGACGAGTATGATGGCACGGAGGGAGGCGGGGAGGAGCTGGAGTCATCACACAGACCTGACATCAAAGAGAAAACGAAAAGAAATGGAAGAGAGAGATAAAGTCAGAGCTAAATCAGACTGACTTTAATTAAAGGCCACATCCAACTTCTTTAATGTTTGAAACTAAAACCAACTGATCAAAAACTGTTGCCTTTCTAATTAAATCCTGAAAATAACATCCTGAACAATAAGCACCAGATCTAACATGAGCTGTTAATGACTGGAGTTTRCGTTYAGGATGACTCTCAGCTACTACCACACCAAAGTTTTATTCAAGATCACAAGAACCAGTTTACTCATAGAAGGGTTAGAATTTCCTAAGGTCATTTGGCTGTGGCAGCCATCTTGAATCAAGTTAATCATTTTCAGTGGTGGGCACCAGCCCGCTAAAGGGCTCGACACACGGGGAGCGACAAACTACAGCGATTAATGGCTGTCATCGCAGCCAGGGTGAAACTCGACACACGGGACGTGATAGCAATTGTAGCGTTGCGAATCGTGCTCTCAGATCGCTTGTCTTCACAAAATTTGATTGGTTCTTGACTCTGAAGGGAGGGTGTGCATTATGG